GAAACACATTCTAATTAACTGATTACTAACGTAGCATATAATCACAATAACACACATTACAACTAATTACTAATCTACAACTCATTACTAATCATAACCATTGACTGATTACCAATCGATTATATAATTACAATACCCCCCCCTCCCTCCGCCTCCAATCACTGCATCTGAATGAGTTAAATGATGATGACGTCACCCTGCTGCTGCTCTATTTAAGACCGGGAGCAAGTGGAGAGGGCTTCACCATTCTGGCGAATTGCCCGATGATGCTGGATGTAATTACCAGCGAAACGTCGTACTCAAACTGTAAATGTTGTGGATTCACTCTTCAAGACACCGGTGTGGGGCTAAAGTAGTGAACTATGTTGTCTTTTGTCAACGTTACACATTTTTTGCTGATTGGCCGTGTCGGAGTGATGGAGGGTTACGACACATTTATAAATAACGCGATCTAACCCCAAAAAAACGTTTATTATGAATGACGTTGTCTACCTACGTGACGTTACCGAAATAACCAAGGAGTACTGGTATAAATGTTGATTTAAAGCTTTCATGACTGCAGGGATTCATATTCTTGGTTCTTTCGGTAAAGTCACGTAGAAGGGAAACAATAAAATAATAAGATTGTTTTATATATTTTTATTATTATTTTATTGTTTCCCTTCTACGTGACTTTACCGAAAGAACCAAGGAGTACTGGTATATCTGTCGGTCTGTAAGGACTATCACAGACCAATGTGTTCGTTTTAATAAAGCCTCCCCGTTTCTCCGATGTATTTCAGCGTCGGCATGCGCAAAATGTTCATCGTACTCAATAAAAGGGATTTGTCAAGCGTCCAATGTAGGACTCTCCTGGGAAAACGTGTTTTTTTAAATGCAGTGAAGCTCTGTCCACTTGGTAAGCAAATAAATACAAAATTACTGTCCTTGTGTTAAAAAGCGTCGATCGGGCTGGGGAGGGAGGGGGGGGAAGAAAAAAATCAAGCGATGTCGAAAAATATCCAGAACCGCAGAAGTCAACAGCGAGCACTCACAACGAAGGAGGGGGGGAGGGAGGATCACACTCTCCACTTCACTTTGGCCGCAGACGTAAACACCCCCCCCCCTCTCCCTCCCCGCCGCGGCGTCTGTGACACGCCACGTTTCGTAACGTCGCGTTATTTACCAACTTATGTAACGGAGAGCAAAAAAAGAGATATCTCACAAATGATCATATTAATGCTGTTAATATTATCACGCTTCGTTTATCCCAGGATAGCCCCCCCCCCCCCACTGAGTTCCAAGACTCCTTTTCAGGAAGGGTGCTTGCCAAGTTTTCTTTCGCAATTGGCGGCGATGTAAAACCCCCACGTGCCGATCGCAACTTGCGAATAATTCGTTCAAACGTGTCAAATGTGTACCTTGACGCCTCCGCACAAAATCTCCAAACTCTTGTGACGAACGCGACGTGGATGTCAAACGTCTACCGCCGAGCAAACGAGGCGTATTGCTATTTTGTTTTGCTATTTCTACGAATTTTTATTTAGCGCGTAAGACCCCCGCTGAGCTGTGGAGATGTCATTGTTCAGAAGCGACCTTCGCGATCACAGATGATAGCTCAACGAAGTGGGCTCACCACCATCATCATCATCACGTGGACATTTATAGCAGCCGTCAAGTACTCGAAACGCGTGATGTTGATTCTAAATGTGGAGGGAAAACCCGGAGGACTCGGAGACAAATCAACGCACACTCCAAATATACAGCAGCAGGCGTCAGGGTGGGGATTGAACCCACGACCTCCTGTACACCAGGCGAGGTAATAAACATCTCATAGCCACCGTGATGATGATGAGAGACACGCAAACTCCAAAAATACAGCAGCAGGCGTCAGGGTGGGGATTGAACCCACGACCTCCTGTACACCAGGCGAGGTAGTTAACATCTCGCCGCCATGGCGTTAAGCGACAACTCATGGCTTAATACACGTGCCGTATTAACCAGGGCTGCCACTGGATTCGAACGTAGCACGTTACTACTTTTAGGCGCTAAAAGGAAAAAAATAAACACGTGCGCTCCACACTCCACGAAGTAGTTGGGGTTACCTCCACCCCGTGCCTTGGGTCTTGCCGGAGCGCTTTGTGTGAGCACCCGAACGAACTGGCAAACCAGCGGCACGAATTGATGGTGCTGGGGAAGTGCCGGACTAAGCTCGTGCGGGGCCTGTAGAAAAATTATGTTGTTATAAAGGGGCCCTAAATTACAAAAAAAAACCACGTAAATATGAAAACACAAATTTTTAACTTGCACAGTAAAGTAATTGTATTCTTTCATTTGCTATACAGCCAGATAATACGACAAATCGCTAACCTTAAACACCCAGTCGTTCATGTGTAGTAGCTACTACCGGTAGTAGTAGCTACTACACATGTAGCTACTACATGTGTAGCTACTGCACATGTACAGCTACTACACGTGTACAGCTACTACACGTGTACAGCTACTACACGTGTAGCTACTACACGTGTACAGCTACTACACATGTAGCTACTACACGTGTACAGCTACTACACATGTAGCTACTACACACGTAGCTACTGCACATGTACAGCTACTACACATGTACAGCTACTACACGTACAGCTACTACACATACAGCTACTACACACGCAGCTACTACACATGTACAGCTACTACACATGTACAGCTACTACACATGTGCAGCTACTGCATATGTACAGCTACTACACGTGTAGCTACTACACATGTAGCTACTACACTTGCAGCTACTACACTTGCAGCTACTACACATGTACAGCTACTACACGTGTAGCTACTACACGTGCAGCTACTACACATGTACAGCTACTACACACATGCGTAGCTACTACACACACGCGCAGCTACTACACATGCACAGCTACTACACATGTACAGCTACTACACATGTAGCTACTACACATGTACAGCTACTACACATGTACAGCTACTACACATGTACAGCTACATGTGTAGTAGCTACATGTACAGCTACTACACATGCACAGCTACTACACATGCACAGCTACTACACATGCACAGCTACTACACATGTACAGCTACTACACATGTACAGCTACTACACGTACAGCTACTACACGTACAGCTACTACACGTACAGCTACTACACGTGTACAGCTACTACACGTGTACAGCTACTACACATGTAGCTACTACACATGTAGCTACTACACATGTAGCTACTACACGTGTAACTACTACACATGTAGCTACTACACGTGTAACTACTACACACATAGCTACTACACATACAGCTACTACACATGTACAGCTACTACACATGTACAGCTACTACACATGTAGCTACTACACGTGTGACTACTACACACATAGCTACTACACGTACAGCTACTACACATGTACAGCTACTACACATGTACAGCTACTACACATGTACAGCTACTACACATGTACAGCTACTACACACATAGCTACTACACATGTACAGCTACTACACATGTACAGCTACTACACATGTAGCTACTACACGTGTAACTACTACACACATAGCTACTACACATACAGCTACTACACATGTACAGCTACTACACATGTACAGCTACTACACATGTACAGCTACTACACATGTACAGCTACTACACATGTAGCTACTACACGTGTAACTACTACACACATAGCTACTACACATACAGCTACTACACATGTACAACTACTACACATGTACAGCTACTACACATGTACAGCTACTACACAGGTACAGCTACTACACATGTACAGCTACTACACATGTACAGCTACTACACATGTAGCTACTACACGTGTAACTACTACACACATAGCTACTACACGTGTAACTACTACACACATAGCTACTACACATACAGCTACTACACATGTAGCTACTTTTGCTACGAGGATCATCCGGCAGTGTGCGGGGCACACGAGGGCTACGTGGGAGGGTGAGCGACCACACGAATTCGTTCGAGTCGCCTCCTCTGTCGCCACCAACGTGGTTACCGATCTCGACTCAATGATTCACTCGCAGTCACTCGCTCACCGGCGGTCTAGTCGCCCACTTATCACTCTTCTATCGCTACTAACATGGCTACCGATCTCATGATCTTGACTCAATGATTTATTCTTGTAACTCGCCAGCCACCCCATTATCACACCATGTAAACACCACGGCTGACATAACGTGCAGAGGCCTTTGCCCACCCAGCAGTGAATTGACCATGGCTGAGAACTATAACACTGGGATATTATAATTCCTAGCATGTAAGCATTGGGTGCTACTAAGAAAGCGATCTGTTCTATAGATAAATATTGCACTTCAAAGCTGTAATATGATAACACCGACACACCAGTCTGGCATAAAAAATATAATAAATGGGATACTTTGCTTTTAGTAAAATCGATCATACATATGGATGAGCTTTCGCCTGGTTAAATAATACCGGTAGGAACCTCCTGGTTACACCAGCCCACAGGGGATTATTGTGTCCGTCCGTCCGTCGTGCATCCAAAAATGGGAGGGGTGGGGCTGGGTGGGGAGGGGAGGGTGGGGAGGGGCTGGGTGGGGAGGGGCTGGGTGGGGTGGTGGGGAGGGGCTGGGTGGGGAGGGTGGGGAGGGGAGGGTGGGGAGGGGCTGGGTGGGGAGGGTGGGGCTAGGTGGGGAGGAGCTAGGTGGGGAGGGTTCTGGGTGGGGAGGGTGGGGCTGGGTGGGGGGTGGGGCTGGGAGGGGTGGGGTGAGGCTGGTCACCCCGTGGTGCCCTTATAAAACTCAACGTTTAGCCTACTCACGCCAGCTTGTGCTCGCCCTCACAGTCGGGCATATTTGCGGAATACACCACGTGGTGGCGCCGTTGACCCTGGCCATTGACCGAGCAACCCAACGTTCCTACCAGCTCCTCACTCCGCAGGAGAATGTGTTAATGAAGTAAAACGATAACCAGGCAGACAACGGAACACAAAAAAAGCGAGCCGTAAAAATGCCGCCACCCAGTAGATTCATTTTTTTTTATTTGAACATTCTAGGCGAAGACATTTTGACGTTTCATTCGTAGTGTATAATTTAAAAGTTGGCAACAGAACGTCACGTTACAATCGTACCACTCTGGGCTGTAGAGGAAAGCAGACCAACAAACAATCACATTGGGGGATCACGTACAAAACTCTGAATACAGCACATTAAAAAAAAAGATAAACACGATTTAATGTGTACAATAATAATAATTATTATTATTATTTTGAACCAAAAAGGGAGGTAGAAGGGATTGGAATCAGAAAGTCATCACAAAATATTTGTTCAAGATAAAGTATGCGGCGTAGAAGCAAGCACAGCCCAAGGTATGCATAACAAAAAAAAAATCACGTAAGTTGATTTCAGATTAGGATTATTTTAAACCCTGTCAGACGAGCAGAACCCTAATGAATTTTGAACCTGCTGCGATACTCATGAGATTCCCAACTCGTCCCCCTTTGTCTGCCTATCTCGGCCCACAATCACTGGGTCTAAACTAAACTTCTTAGCTCAAGTAAGTGCGCTGTATATTGCGTAGAAGGTAAAGGTGCAGGCCCTGCAATTGCTCGCTCATGCCACTGCTGTTGGAAGGGTTTCCACTAGCCCAGTGTTCTTCACCGATCAGACATCATCAGTGCGAGGGCCGCCACGCGATTGAAACCATTGTTGGATTTCACAGCAGCACGGCGACGACGATGATGATGGTGGTGGGGGCCGTTCTCACTTGCCGTGTGATTGTCGGAGGCCGCTCGTCAGGGGCCGCACTAAAGGCCACCAGGGGCGGCCAGTGGCCCCGCGGGCCTTGCGATGAAGACCGCTGCGCTAGAAAGAGAATGTCTCGGGAGCTCTCCCAGAGGGTATATGGCCTCCTCTTCGACGCTGGCCAGACGCGCAACCTACACCGCTAGGTGGACAGAGGTGGGGGAGCATTTAATAAAGTTGCCCCCATTGATTCAACTGCTGCGATGGGAGATGGAACCGGCGACCTCTGGATTCGCAAGTCCATTGTGCTAAACATACCACCAGGGCAGCACCCGAGGTGCTGTAGCTTACACGAGTCCAAACGTGTGCTTGGAAAATCGATGGGGGCAGGCATAAAAAAAAAACGATTGTGCCTCCTCGAACGCGAAAATTAACACGAATATTTACGCCTTGATTATGTTTGCTTCGAACGCATTTGAAAACATTGGCGCGTAATAAAGAGACGCACTCTTTTATCGGTACGAGCGAAGCGATTTCATTTTTCTCTTTCCTTTCTACCCTCCTCCGACAGAAAGCCGGCGGATGACGAGGCTTACAGCAGTGATCTGGAGGGCTCCCAAACGAACGCTTCACTCGCCAATCTCCGACCAAACCCCCGGCGGCGTCGGCGGCGGCAAAATCGCTTGGTTCACCACGTGCGCATTCAACCGGTCGTGCCCGATGCTCCAGCCTCGCTCAGAAACGCCAACCATCGGGTGGCATCGACGGACATGACCGTATCCCGTGAGCCCGCAGGGTTTGGCTCAAGTAACCCCGCGCCCGCCCACCCCCCGTGAAGCTCGCCGTGTTAACGCCCCACGCTCATCGCCTCCGTTTAAGCATCGGCGAAACTGAGAAAGCTCAGCTCCGCGGCCAGCTGCGTGGGAGCAGCGATCAGCGTCCCCCCCCCACCCAACCCCCCACACGGAGGTCACCGTTGGCGGATGCCGGTACGGCAAGTAGGGCACGGATTCCGTTCACGTTTTCTTTCTCCCTCCCCGTACACAGATTTTCGAGCACCGTCCTCCCACTGTCGCGCGTGGGTGTTCTTCGGCCCGGGGGCAATTTACGGCGCTTCTCCCGCAACACGCGATACTCGGAAAGGAAGCGGGCCACACACGCCTCGGCATTTTAAAAAGGGAGAGACGAGCTCCCTGTCACGGCGTCACAATTGTTAAACACGTGACGTGCAATGTCTTCATCCGGATGGTTTCACCGTCCAGAGCTCCCTTTTTCCCAATCCACTGCAGGATGCGGACCGGCGCTGCCTTCTTGCTCAAGGTGGGCAGCATAGACGTTGGAGCAAGGTAGAGTAACGACAATGGATACACCGCTGCACTGCCCTCTGCTGATAACGTAGCTCAGCAGGAAGCCCGTAGCACCTGTTTGTACGCAGTGGGTTGCCCATCCAAGTACGATAGCAGGCTCGAAATGCCTGCTAAGCTTACGAGGTCTGGACAGAGATCGGGCACGCTCCGCGTGATTTGGTCGGAGATTTCGCTGTAGCCCACCATCAAAATCACATCCCAGGCACCGCCACTAGCAGAGCAGATGCAATTGGTTGGTTTTTTTTTTTCCTTGGGGGAACGATCGATGAGAACGACATTTGCAAGTGCGTTGAAGACGCGCGTTCCGGAGACGAGCGAAGCTTCGTCCTATATCGTGTAAAACCATTTTTTTTTTTAAAATCAAGCCTGCAATGGAATCATCCCATTTGTCATTACTATTCGATGAATTGTCACAATTTAGGTAGGACGATTTGCTTCAATAATCAATAACTTTCTTGTTTTGTTCTACCTCGGCCGCAACATGAGCCCAAAACACGTAGCGTTTGCAAACGATTTGCGCAAATTGCAAAATACTGTTATTCGTACGCACGCGCAAATGCGATACGTGTATCGCGAGCGTAATCATTGGTTCGAATTCGTCAAGAGTTACGCGCCTCGGTGGAGTAGCCATCGAGAGTGTGCAGGCGGTGCGATCGCACAGCGGCCTGGAGACTGGTGGGGGCCCAGGCTCCGGGCGATGAAGGGGGGGGGGGGCGGGGGGGGGGGTGTCTGTGTCGTTATTTGTACCAAGGCCCATGTCAACCACGATATGCAACTACCTACATAAAATGATAGAATTTCTCCAAAAATCTGTATTTGGAAAGCTTTCTGAGCACAGAGAAAGAGAGGGGGGGGGGGTAAAATAATTCGCTTTTGCAAATGTAGATAATGTTGAGCGATGCCTTCAAAGCAACGGGCTGTCTGACGAGCAGCGTTTGATTGGCCGGTCACCGAGCTTGGCCCCACGTGATTGGCCGCTTGCCCCACCGATGGGAGGTGTTTGGAATCGGTCGACGCGGCGCCGTGCCAAAGTTTGGCGCTGCAAGTGCCGTTTTAAAATACCACCGGGTGGGTCGTTCACCCGGGCCCCACGGCTCCCCCACGGTGCCCCGCGTGGAGACCGCAAGCTCACCGCGACCTGGCCAGCCAAACAACCACGTGGGGGTCACGCGCGGCCTATAATCTCGTTGCGGTGATGGCGTGCAAGCGCCGAGATGATTCGCATTAAGGTTTCATAACGGGAGCTTTTTTGATCTTGATTTCGTACGGCTGCCTCCGTTTTCTCCTGCCCTGTTCAGCGAACGCGCTTGTGGCCTTCCCGTAAGAGCAACAGGCCCGCCGCGATGGAATCGATCCGATTCGCGGCCGGCGCGCCGGAGACGGGACGCGGCAACCACCCTTCCTCCGGCGGCACGGCACGTCGTCCCCCTTCAGAGCGCCAGCTCTTCGACGTCATCGTCCGGCGAGTCGACGGCCCTCACGGCGGGCCGCGTGCTCGTCACGGTCGTCGCGTGCCGCCCGTTGCGCGTCCGGAACGCCGCCGCCGTGCTCGTCGCCGCCCCCCCTCCTCGGTCTCCCGCCTTTCGCCGCGCATCATCGCCCGCCGCCTCCTCCTCCGCCGCCTCCTCCTCCTCCTCGTCGTCGTCGTCGTCGTCGTCCCACGGGAACGCCTTCTTCCCGGCCGGCGCGGGCGCCGCCTTCATCTCCCCGTCCGCCGCCGCGACCTCGCCCGTGCCGAACAGCTGCTCGATGAGCCCCGTTTTGTCCCGCGAGCCCGGCGGCGTCGGCCGCCCTTTCTTGGGAGAGTTCTCCCGGCGCTGCTCGAGCGGCAGAGTCTCCCGGCCCGATTGGCGCCCGAACGACGGCGCGTAGCTGCCGAACGCCAGCTCGTCCGCCCCCGGCGGGGGGGCCCTCGGCTCGCCGTTGGCGCCGGCGCGACTCGCCGCCGTCCCGCTCTGCGCGGGCCGGGACGCCGTTGTGCAGGTTCCGCACCGGCTCCGAGAACTTGTAGCCCCCGCGGCTTCCCTGGCTGTTGGAGTTGCTGGCGTCGCCGGCGTCGGTGTCGTCGGTGGTGGTGGCGGCGGCGTCGTCGTCGTCACGCAGCAGCGGCGGCAGCGGGCGCGCGGTTTTGCGGGCGATGTCGTCCAGGGTCGGGGACGGCGAGCGACGGGCAGAGGCGGCCGCCGCCGGTGCCGACATCCGCTCGTCGATTTCCCGCATCTTGGCGAGGAGGGCGTCCTTACGGCGGCGCTCCTCGCCCAGCCGTGCCCGCTCCGCCGCACCGGCCGCCGCCTCCTCCTCCTCCCGCTCGCGTTCTGCCAAGCGTAGAAATAAAAACGTCGCGGCCGCCGGCGTGACTTTAACCGTCCTCCAGTTGTGCTGTTGCCTTTTGTTCTCAAAAAGAGAAAAGGATGAACACGCTGCAAGTTTGCTTACACAAGAGCCGTACGGATGCGTCCGGTTTATCGGGGGGGGGGGGGGGCATTTCCTATTTTTAATTGAGCCTTTCCAAATGTTGGCATTTTCAAGTGACAGCCACAAATGGCTTTACACAGGAGTAGTCGTCAGGCAATGCCACTCACCTTCTCGCAACTTGCGAGCTTTGTTCTCCAGATCGCGCTCCTCCTTCTCCCTGCGGGTCCGGTCATCCCTCTCGCGGTCCCACCTCGCGGCGCCGACATCCGAATCCTACGTTGCGCGGGAAACAACAACAACAACAAACAACAAACAACAACCACAAACAACAACAGAAGCTTCACTTCTCCTCCGACTCTCGCTTCCTAGATGGCGTGAAAAGAAAGTTGCCACGGGTAGAGTCCAGGCTGTGATGCACGGCTCAAAGCCACTCGCGAGTTTCTCAGCGAGCGAATGCAGCACGGCACTGGCGTCGTGCCTGCGAAGATCAACTCGCGAATTTACAACGCGTGACCGACTGGGAAAATATGATGGTGCAAAGCGGTTAGAATTGTGTAAACCACAAATTGGAAGGTGAAGCCACTGTTGCCGAGTTGGCGACAGCGAGTTGTTTAACCACCTTCTTTGGTTCGTTCGGTAAAGTCACGTAGAATGAGAATAAAATAATAAATTAATGGAATAAAATAACACAATAAAATTCTCATTCCACGTGGCTTTACCGAAAGAACCAAAGAAGATGAATCCTTGCAGTCATGAAAGCTTTAAATCGAAATTGTTTAACCACGCTTCACCAGGATGGCTCGGCGTCGGTTAGTAAAACGTAGATGTGGCGGCATAGAAGTACAGTACAAAAGAGCATTCCGTTTTGCTGCAGTGCCTTTTACTGGTTTACCACGTAGGCTTTCACGGCCAATATTATCCACGATAGGTTTTCTTCGGTAAAACCTCGCTTATTGATCCCTTTTATTGTCCACCATGTAGTGCCACAGAGCTATGGCAACCTGATTGTGTGTGATCATCACCAATCGCAGCGGTATCCAGGCTCAACCTCTGCTTAGACTTCTTAGATCTGTCGAGATCAGGCCCCTTCTGGGCGATTTGGCAAAAAGGCGGCGATATCGAATCATATATGCAAGAACCATAATTTTATTTATTTTTCTACCTACGTTATGACTTTACCGTAAGAACCAAAGAGTATGGAATTCCTGCAGTCGCGAAAGCTTCAAATCAAGAAAGAAGCATAATGTCTGCTAAATCTGCGCAAGTTGTTTCTGAACGTGACCCGAAGGCTAATGCAATAAATGGGATCAAACATACGGGATGGAAAATCAATATTACATGGTATAAATAAGAATGACAGTCATCAATTCTTCGAACCGAATCATTAACACGTACGTTTTCGCAGTCGATATTTTGAGTCGTAATTAAAATTTTGGGGGCGGGTTAGGCCCCCGTAACGATCTGCACGAATTTGTGTTGTCAAGAGCCTCCACCACCCGACCACAGCCAAACCACAAATTAAACTATCACTTCACGTGTACGGCCATTTAACTACGTGCCGATTATTAATGTTCGAGTTCACTCAGCGGTAAAAACTACAGAACAATTAGCACGACCAAGTTTAGTGATGAGATACAAAAACTACTATGAGCCAGAATAAAAATGGTAAGAGTAACAATAAAATATTATAGAGTGTAATTCATGCTAATTGCATCACACAACTCTTTACATTAATTACATGTAAGGGCCAAATCCGATAGTGTCATGACAATTCAATGAACGTTGGGTGGGTTTAGAGTATTTGGCTGATGTAAATTTCCACGTGATGAATATTCACATCGTTGGTGGGCCTTAGCCGGTAAAATACAAAACAGTTTTGTTTCATCATCCTCATCATCATCACGATCCATGGGCAGATAGCCCACAGGTGTCCACTGCACATTTTGTAATTTGTTGCCACTATCCTCTGCCTTGTGCCAATCTACTCAAGTAGTGCCTCACATCTTTCCTGCACCAACCTCTTGCGATGTCGTTGCCAAGCCGTTCTCTGCGAGGTCTTCGTCCCTTTCCGATTCCTTCCATTGTCCGAACGACACACTTTTATTTTTATTTCTCTGTTGTCGTCCAATCCCGCGTGCGTGTCCAAATAGTGCCAGTCTCTTCCTCAACACAGCCTACGTCAGCTCTTCTTCTACGTGCAACCTTTTTCTTACCGAGTTTAGTTTAGCAGTACATCGTTACACGCCTACTGCTCACGCTTGGGTCGGGGGAGGGGGAGGGCACGAGAGGGGAGTGCGCGGTGTGCGCGGTGTCTCCACGGTGGGTGCTGCGTGCCGACCTTGGCTGCGGGGTTTTGCTGCTTGGGATGAGGTGGCGGCGATAGCTGCGGTGGCGACGGCGGCGGAGGGAAGTTGATCGTGTCGAAGTAGTCGTCCGTCTGTACCGCCACCGTTGCCGGCTTGCCTGCTTCGGCAACCGATCAATCAAACGAGTTGATTACCGCTTTTAAAAATATATAGTTTCCACTCCCCCCCCCCCCCCTCCCCCCCTTCCGATTGGTTTATTATCATGTTACTGGAATCACGTAAACTAAGCTAGCGAGCAAACATGTCCTTGCTCGGCCACTTCACTATAAACACCATTAACTGTTTTTATTTTTTATTTTATCAGGTAAGGCCCACTGAGCGATACAGCTCTTTTTCAGAAACGACCTGGCCACAAATGATAGCTCAACGAAGTGGTCTTATCGTGTGGAAATCTATAGCAGCAGCCAAATACTCTAAAAGCACGTTGATTCTAAATGCGGAGGGACAAACCGCAACCACGGGGAGAACATGCAAACTCCACATATGCAGGCGTTAGGGTCGGGATCGAACCCATGACCTCCTGTATACCAGGTGAGGTAGTTAACATCTCGCCACCGTGACGCAAGATGACAACATTTAATCCTTTTATTTTTTTATAAGTAAAGACGGAGTTCAAAATTAAAAGGTCATTCCCGAGCAACGTGACCGAAGCCATCACTCCTCGCCATCGCTTCCCTAACTTCTGCGAGATCCACAACTGCTGCACGTTTGCACACAAGTCACCGGCGACGGTCTAGCCCTTACAGCCTCCGATCATGCAACCTCCTCCCGATTGCATCCCGTATCATTTCCCCTACATTATCCTTGCCGCGAGTCGGATCATTTCGTTACATTTCTGACCGTCGTCAATCGGGCACGGGTGCCTTCCGTGATTTATTTTTTATTCTTCGACGGAAAAGATCCTAAACTAAACAATGTTTAATTTTACCATGTAATGCCCACCGAGCTATACAGCTCTATTTCAGAAGCGACCTGGCTATCACTAACGATAGCTCAACCAAGTGGCTTATCGCGTGGAAGTTTAAAAGCAGCCAAATACTCTAAAACGCGTGACGTCGATTCGATAATGGGGAGGGGAAAACCCCCGGAAAAAAAATCCATCCTACGACAATGGAGCTGGTAAAGGCCACAAGGAGCCATAAGCGGCAGTCAATGAAATAACGCAAACGATGCGGGTAAGGAGGGGAGAGTGCGGGGGGGGGGGGGAGGGGGTGGAGGGCGCGGGGGGCGGGGGTTTACCCTTTTTAGGTGGCCGAGTGCCCCGCGGCATGGCCTCGGTGTCCTTCCTCGGCGACGCTTTCAGCAAACGGCTGGCGTAGATGTTCTTCACGTCCAGCTCCCGCTCCTTATCCTGGCGTGACGATCAAAACGAGAAGACAAGGAGAGAGACAGAGAGAGAGAGAGAGGTTAATCCGTTTCGAACCAAGACCAAAAAACAAAGGCGTCGAACACGTGCCGGGGTTCAGACGAGACGCGCCGATTAAAATGTCTTCTTATTAAAATGTCTTCTTATTAAAATGTCTTCTTATTCTCATTATGATGCCGTAACGTCGAGAGACGCGACGATGGTCGGTGTGCCAGAATAACCGATGGAGCGGCAGCCAGGGGAGGAAAAGCGCCCGAAAGTTTCGTCCACCCGCAGAGATGGAGCGATGAAACAAGCTCGGGCTGCAGGCGCTTTGTGGATCGTTACGTCGCAGGATCGTGATGATGGCATGGGGATGCCTTCATCCAGCAGGGGAACGATCATGCCTATCGATGGTGGCGGCGATGGTGATGTTGTGAATTAAATCGCGCATTTGAAACCTGCACGCAGGATTGCGAAGCCCATCTTACGAGCGACTGTTTCAACGAGTTACATTGTTGGGCTTCCATTCACAAAAAAAAGTGAAGCTTTACATTACAGAAGTGGGTCAAGGATGGAGAATGTGGGAGCAACCCCCCATTATCACAGCCGATCCTGGAGAGGAATCATTGGTTGCTTCACGTCACCACTAGAAAATGAGCAGCACCTCCTAGATGTGTCCAATCCCTCCTAAACTGCAGAAGCAAAGAAGGTTTCAAGCTTGGAAAGGGCTTGGATGGATGAGCGCCATGCATGTAACAAGTGACGTAGACTGCTTTGGGGACACGTTTTGAGCAGCGGAGGGCAGTTCAGAAAAAATATATATTTATCGTACTGTACTTCTACGCTCCTACATCTAAAAAAGAAAAAAGATCTTCCCTTCACAGTAGATGCACAGATTAATATGTCTGATTCATGATACGTAATGTATAAAATCCATTGTGTTTCTGTGCTCCTACATTCTCCCCACCTTCACAAACCCGCACTTATATACACCGCCAAGGAGCTCCTTGAGATCTTCTGATCTCCTTCTTAGTATTCTGAGGTCAAGGCTCCATTCCTGGGGGCGAATCGGGGCCCTTTGTCAGTGCAGCTCCAAGAATATGGAACGCGTTTGCCTCTGACAATGAGACACGCTGCCGCCTCCGTCTCATTTCCCCACTTTCCATACACGGTGGCGCATTGCGACCCTTGGATTTAATGCGCCTTACAAATGTCAATTATCATATTATTACATTACTGCCCAGCCAAGCGAGTGAAGTCCAATCAAATAACTACCACGGCGCCTGCACGCCGCCGGGTGGAGGGCTCTATCTGTCATCCAGCAGTGGAGCGACAAAGAGGGCTTGTGCATGTACGTCCCCCTGACGCCTTCTCAGGGGGAAAACTTTTCCGCAGCCCGGCCGAGAGTGTGGAGGCTGCCTGCCATCGAGACCGCTGCGTTGGTCGGTCAGGGCTCTTGTCGAGGCCAGATGGGGCAGGTGCCCTCTACTGATCAAACACAGGGGGGGCTTAGTGGCTCAGCTTTGTTGCAAGCTCGGGCGATTTCCTTTCCCAAGACCGAGCAAACTTTTTTGGAGTTCTCCTAAAGTGACAAAACCCCATCAAAAGCGACCTGGTGACAACATTTAGAGACGTTCTGGGCCGAGGAGTTACACCACAGCGGCCCCCCTTTTGTCAATCCACTGCCGGATGAGTGGCTCCCCGTGCCGTATGGGTCGTGGGGGGTTCTGTGATCACACGCCACCGTGCTGGTCGGCGGGGGTTGGTAAAGGCGTGGAGCATAGGTGTGGGAGCATAGAAGCACGGTACAACAAAATATTTTGCTGCCCTGGGCCCCCTGCATGCCCGCGAACGTTGCCACGCAGCCCTATGACAGCCTGTTTGTTCATGGCTGTTGCCCATCCTAGCACGGCGAAGGCTCAACCCTGCTTAGCATTCGAGATATGACGGGATCCGGATGATCCTGCGCCATTTGGCCGTAAGCGGAGTTCAAACTAAAGTTTGGCTCATACTGGATCATGGAGCGCCGCGGTGGAGAGATGTTAACTCTCTCGACTGGTATGCAGGAGGTCGTGGGTTCCATGCCGACCCTGGACGTCTGTATCATGTAGTTTGAAGGTCTCTCTCTCCCCGTGGTCGCGTGGATTTTTCTCCAGGTCCTCCGGTTTTTCCCCCTCCACATTTTGAAACACGCGTTCAGGGCATCTGGCTGCGAAACATTTCCACGTGAGGCACTTTGTTGAGCTATCATTTGTGGCCAGATATCTTCTGAACAAGAGCTACCCAGCTCAGTGGGGCCTTACCCCGCAAGTTGAAATAGTCGTTAATGTTTCGGAGATTTGACGTGCCTCGCTACAGACGGACGGACAGAGCTAAAGCGTAATAAACGCTTTCAACCTTATCTTCTTTGGTTCTTTCGGTAAAGTCACGTAGAATGAGAATAAAATAATAAATTGATAAAATAAAATAACACAATAATATTCTCACGACGTTTCGGCCACAACACAAGCGGCCTTCATCAGGTGAAGGGAGCGAGACTGTCTGGTAGGACAGCGCTGTCCTACCAGACAGTCTCGCTCCCTTCACCTGATGACAGCGCTGTCCTACCAGACAGTCTCGCTCCCTTCACCTGATGAAGGCCGCTTGTGTTGTGGCCGAAACGTCGTGAGAATATTATTGTGTTATTTTATTTTATCAATTTATTATTTTATTCTCATTCTACGTGACTTTACCGAAAGAACCAAAGAAGATGAATCATTGCAGTCACGAAAGCTTTAAATCGAAAGCTTTCAACCTTAGTTGGCAAGCTTTGATAAGACAGGGGTCACGTGGCCCAGCGGAGTTTTCCGTTCCTCACCTTGAGCTTTTGGGTGAGCCTCTCTATCTCCTCCTGTAGGGCAGTCACCTGCGCCTGTGCCTCCTGAGTTTTGCGCCGTTCTGCTGCCAGCTGCCTCTGGTAGCTGTTTGTGGTGAGATCGAGGTTTTTCTCCAGGTCCTGCGGGTGAGAAGGGAACAGCGCGGGTAGATTGAAGTGCAGCAGACAGGTCCCAAAGGGCAGCAACGCAACCCTCGACGCCCGATGGAATGCACCACAGAGAGTCGGGGCAAATCAACGGCGACCTCGGACTCAAGATGCGCTATGGGTATAAGGGCCATTGTCCAAAAAAACGTTGGCTCATTATTCCTTTTAAGGCCACGGTGTTATGAATGAAAGTGTCGAGTTTCTTGCGAGGATGTTATTAATCAGGAAAAAAACATTACAACATAAACCTGCTCGTCGTTTGACACCACCCAATCCTACAAAAAAGACAAAGACCACCTGAAAAGCATTACCAGACTCTTTGGGCAAGTGCTGTTAGAGAACCCCTATGAAGGCTTGCAAAGCACACGAGGGGGTGGGCGGCTACAACCATGCCCGACTGCCTTTGTCTCCCCAGTGGCGACACCAAGTACTCATTTGAGGCTGAATCGACCTATGGGAAGCCCAGGATCCGGTTCAGATAATTGTCACCGATGTAGGCCGTGCGCGGGAATCGAACTCGGGCCGCCGGGTTCGTAGCGCAGCGCGCTCACCGCTGCACCACTGCCCCCCTACACACCCAACCCTCCTCTCGCCCCCCCCCAATAACAACCGTCATTCGTGGTGGTGACGTCACCACAGCGCCTGTGCCAGCCCAGGTGCACTCTGAGGCCACGTGAAGTGTCGAAAGCTCGTTAACAGGAGGTCACGGGACAGACCCAGGTGCCATGGGTTGACCGACTAAAATCCCCCCCCCCCACACGCCTCCGATTCGCACAAACCTCCGATTCGCACAGTTGGCTGCGTACGGCGCGAAAGAAATTCCACACACGTAATAGCAACAGCCGTTCGCCACTAAGTGGCGGTGACGGGAAACACGGCAAGCAGGGCCAGGCTATCTGCACTTCGACGACACGTCAAGCGTCGAAGTAGACGCATACGCGCAACGCGGGCGCCTGCACGCCCACTCGCGCACCTTGACCCGTCGCTCGCTCTCGTCCAGCCTGGTCTCGGCGCGCGCCAGCGAGCGCGCCAGCTCCTCGCGCTCGCCCAGCCCGCGCTGCTCAGAGAGCCTCTGGAGCCGCTGGAGGCCCTCCCGCGTCGTGGCCAGCTCGTCCTGCGCCGCGCGCAGCCTCCGCGCCGCGTCGCGCTCCGCCTCGCGGGCCCTGCGCAGGCCCTCGCGCAGCGCCCGCGTCTCCGCCGCGTGCCGCGCCAGCAGCTGCGGCAGGTCGCCCTCCTGGGACTCGAACCGCGCCAGGGCCTTCTCCTGGCGGTGCTGCGCGAGAGGCGCGCGCGTGCGACGATCGTTCGTTCGTTCGTTCGTTCGGTGGCAAAAATAGAACGAAAAAAGTTAACCACTCCGTGATAGGTAGCCTATATATATATAAATGAAATATAAACACAATATATTTTGGTCCAACAGCCTGTTGGCTTTCCAGACCGCTAATATCCAGCAGCATTTATTTAAGCAAGCAAACTCTGGACCAGTTTTGTTTTACTTTATGAGCCTCATTTAGCAGAGTCAGGCTTGTGAATGGACTACAAATACTTGTAATTGTTTGCGGAGACAAAGAACGGAGTACACGCATGTAGAACCATAACAACAGTGCATAATGAGTTCCCTATTTGGTTAGGACAACTTATTTTGCAAGACGACTTCTTGGAAGCTTTTAGCTCAGGCATGTAGAGTTGTAATCGTGAGGGCTCTTTCATCTCAGACGACCCTCAATATTTACCCATCACAGCAAGCACCTAAGCCGCCTTAATTGAGTGCTCGAGAGGGGAATATTATCGATCCTGGCAACAACAAAGTGTTTCGATATTAACGCACTCAGTCATTTCTACGACTGCAGGGTCAGGAGGTCTTAAGAAAGACGACCACATCATCACGCGCTTTCAAATGCGCTTCTGCGGTCGTCTGGAACCGCTCTTCCTTTCGAAAATTAGCAAGCTGCTGGCGCTATGCAGTTTTAAACCTAAGTTTAAAAAAAAAAACTAATTTCTTGAGAAATTCTTTTTGTGCTTATTGTGTCGTCTGTCCCCACCACCTCCGATGAGCACGATGGTCTACGTACGGTATAAAATAAGTTCAATATACATACACACAAGGTGCATGTCCACATCTGTCCCTCAAAAAGTTATTGCAACTCCCATTCCACCCTCATATTGCAAGCAATTTGCTTCAGCGCCACCTAACGCACCACCCGCCCCGCCCCGCCCCGCCCCGCCCCGCCGCACCACCGATCCGCACGCCACTCGCCTGCAGCTGCTTGAGGGCCCGGTTCTCGCGCGTGGCCTCGTCCAGCCTTGCCTCCAACTCGGACACCTCGTTGCGCAGAGTGACGGCCGCGTGCACCCGCGCCGAGTGGACGCGTCGCGACACCAGGTCGGGGGGCCCGCCACGGCCCGTGTACAGCGACGTGCGGCTGCTCTTGTTGCTGCGACTGCCACGGCCGCCGACGCCGCCGACGCCGACGCCGCCGACGACGCCGACAGCCTTCGTGCCGTTCCCGGCTCGGGGGCCCACCGGTTTGCGGCCTGGCGCACCCGAGGGGGGGGAGTGAAAACGAGAGAAGCGAAAGCAGCGGGATTGTGGCAAGGTCTTTTTCTGTTTGTTGTGAGGTCGATCGCGTTAAATGTAAATGTGTCGTAAAGCCACCTCCGTCCGACACGGACAATTAGTAAGGTTTGTCAAGTGAGCAAAACGTGCCAATTGCGATTTCGCAAATCGAAATCGCAATTTGAAACAATGTGATTAGCAAATCGTAAAGGCTGCGATTTTTTTGCGATTTGAAAAGTCCTATTACTTTCTTATTGGAATCGTGTTATTTTTTGTTATTATTATAACTTTATTTATTTAACTTAACAATTGTTCTATGTTTGATTGTTCTATTTCAATTAAAACAATTTAATAAATACATGTTGCAAGCAATTAATATCTTTTAAGTTCCATCCTTGCATCAGAATATATAGAGCAGTTCATATTTTGATGATATCGTGTGGTAACGCTCCATCACGTGTTTTACATCTATTACACAGTGAATATTGAACTGAAGTTTGACTTTAAAAAATGTAATCGCAAATCAAATCGCAATATCTGTCAGAAAAATCGCAATTAGACATTCCCCAAATCGTTCAGCCCTACTGCACGTTCCAGAGGCTGTCTTTCCAGCATACCGTGAAATTGTACTACTAGTTGTTTGTCTCTCTCGTTGGTACACCCCGTTAGCCGATTGTCTACTGCTGGATGAGGGCCGCCGCACGCACACCTGTGCGGGTCACGGGGGTTACTGGACCATACTTCACCACGATGACCGGTCCCCGCCATAGCTTCGGAAAAACAATTCTGAAATATTTATTTATGCTGGCAGAATCCGATGAGCTATAAAGCTCTATTTTCACAGATGTCCAGTAGGGGCGGGTAAGAACGTTACAGCAACAAACAGTTCAATAACACAATAGGAGTGCAAAGTATAAGAAAGGTAAACAAATCTGCCAAACACATACTAAAATAAAACTAAACAATCACCATCCTACCAGGCAAAGCCCACTGAGGTATTAACTTATTTTCCAGAAGCGGACCTGGCTACAAATGATAGCGCAACAACGTGGCTTATCGCGTCCACATTTACAGCAGCCAAATTAACAAAATAATCCCAATGCATGTTCCTGAGCAGGGGCGGAGCCACAGGGGGGGCTGGTGGGGGGGCTCACCCCCCCCTGAAATTTTGGGAAAGTCGGTAATCGGGATAACCGGATTTCCAGCTGCTGCAAAATGCTGCAGGCTGCCACCTTGTGCTGCCCTGCCGGCTGCTTGAGCGGCAGCCTTTGGAACTTATCGAACTTATTAGCCACATCCAGCGGCTCCGACCTATTAATAAACTCCGCGTTCAAATCCAATAAAATTCGTTTTATACATTTGTGGCACCCATTGGAAAACATAAACACTGGATATCTCAGAATATTGAAGTCAGCCCCCCCCCCCCCAAGTCAAAATCCTGGCTCCGCCCCTGTTTCTGAGTGTGGCGAAACAGAATGTATGTGGTCCGCTAACCCTTGGGACCATGGGCATCGACCACCATGCCCGTGGCTAGGAAAATACGACGAGCAGTAGCATTGGCCAAGTGCCTGTAGCCATAGGGAGCAGAGTTTCACCAACGCTCTAAGGCATTTCTGTTTACAAAAACACAACACTTCAAAAAGGCTACGAGAGGAAACATATCGCAATGTGGTTGTTTAATCAATGACCTCACCGTGCCTGTTGGTGTACTACTCGCCAGGCACGTCCCACTATCCACACTTGCGCTCACTGCTTCGCTGCACCGACACCCTGGGGGGTCAGCGACCCACTGACCTAACTCCAACTCAGCCACAGTAGCCCACGCGCGGTGGGGGATGGGGTATGTGATTTGTGTATGTATGTTGAACTTCTTTCACACCGTACGTAGCCAACCATGCTTAATGCACGATAGCCTTGTGATCATTTACTTTGAAGCAGTGAGCGAGTGTCGTTTCACTGTCGCCACATCAGGGTGTATGTTGTACTGCCGGGTTAAGCAAAAAAAATTAAACCTTGCCAGACGGTTACGAGATGTTAACTACCTCACCTGGTATACAGGAGGTCGTGGGTTCGATCCCGACCCTGACGATGCCTGTATAATTGTAGTTTGCGAGTTCTCCCCGTGGTTGTGTGGATGATTTTTTCTCCGTGTCCTCCGGTTTTTCCCTCCACATTTATAATCAACGTGCGTTCTGAGAATTTGCCTGCTAGAAATGTCCACGTGATGATAGGCCACTTCGTTGAGCTATGGTTTGTGGCTAGGTCACTTCTGAAAAAAAACACAGCTACATAGCTCAGTGGGCCTTACCTGGTTAAAAAACACAAGTTAAGTTTAAAATGTCAGTCCTCCAGTCACGACTGAACTAGAGGGCAATACTGTACACAAAGTGCGACTTGAAAAGCACTCTGAACAATGAAGACAATTAGTAGGTGGCCAGGTGACTCAAGAGGTCCAAGCGCTCGGCTGGCACCGTTGGGATTCTGGGTTCGAATCACGTCTGCCGCCCCCGTGGATATTTCCGTCTCTCAAGTACAGCGAGGTTGATGGTCTCAGGTCGGCCACCAATGATTGCTCAATAACCATCACATTACAACTTGTGTTTTCCACTCGGCTCCGACAATAAATAATATCGGTTTGGCCGTCACGCAACGAACGTTATTCTCTCGGGCGGAATGGTTGGGGAAGCAGCGGCGCTCTAGACTGCGTCCAACAAAAGTTACTTGAAGGGGTCTTGCAGGGAGCTCCGTGATACCTGCTTCCACGGACCGCCCGCTAACACGAAGGTTTGCGCTGCTCCTCCGAGACAGAGTGTCCACGACACATCCAGGGATCAAATTGGTGGGCGGAAATAGAATTTTTACAAATACATTCGAATAACACAAAAACAAAAGAGAGAGCAGAACCCAAGCTCAGCACTTACCTTTTGCGAAGCGACAAACGTGACTCAGCCTGACATCACCAAAGTAAACCCGTTTGGACATTCTCAACGCAGGGCGGCGGCGTGGTCACGGTTGACTTCCACGTGGGAGGCTACCGAGGCCAAGCAAACACGGGGCACGTGCGTCACAGTCACGGCCATTCAACGGCGACAGAATCGTCCCGCATCGTTAAAGTCTTCCCCTGTCGGACCTTGCCGCACGCTCTTAACAACGGGCAGCCGATGTCCTCTTCCCGTCCTCCATTCGTTAACGGGTTGAAAAACCACAGCGGCTCAGCGCCCGCTACGGTATCCACTCCCCTCCCCCCCCCCCGCACACGTCACGGGCTAAGCCAATCCATCAATAAATTACGGGCGCCAGAGGCCACCCTCTTGAAGCTACGCCGCGAAACGCGACCGGGGTGACATTCACATTTAATGGGGCACCGCCGCGAGCCGACGCGTACGCGAGACAGCCGCGCTTGACGGGTAAAGCCGCGGTGGCTCGGCGTCGCAGGCTCCTTGCAATTCTCGTAGCGAAAGGAAGCGCCCGCCAGCGGAAGCGTGGATTCAGTGGCGCGTTTTAAGCTTCGGTTCGTGGTCTTAGCGTAGTTGACGACGACCTGTGGAATTCTGGGAAGCGGACTATTATTGAAGAATATATTGAGTACATTTATTCTGTGGATGTGTATGCTTTGACTTTAACATAGCCATTTCTGTGACCAGTCACAGGCTAATCACTCAGCTATTTCAATGCTAAATTCTCCTGTTTGATTTGTACTAGGTGCCTCTGTAGATGTGTAGGCTTTGACTATCACATAACTATTTCTATGACCAGTCACAAGCTAATCCCTCAGTTATTTCAATGCTAAATTCTCCTGTTTGATTTGTACTAGGTGCCTCTGTGGATGTGTATGCTTTGACTTTAACATAGCCATTTCTGTGACCAGTCACAAGCTAATCACTCAGCTATTTCAATGCTAAATTCTATGCTAATTCCTTTGTCACGGCGCTCTGTTTCTTCTCACACAGCTTAAAGGTCGCGGTCTGAGCTTGGCTGTGTTCGCTCCAGCGCTGTCCTCCAGACAGTCTCGTCCCTTCACCTGATGAAGGCCGCTTGTGTTGTGGCCGAAACGTCGTGAGAATTTTATTGTGTTATTTTAGTTTATCAATTTATTATTTTATTCTCATTCCACGTGACTTTACCGAAAGAACCAAAGAAGATGAATCCTTGCAGTCACGAAAGCTTTAAATAGAATTGGACTTCGTTTTCAATAATTCTCCGAGTTGTTAGATGTTTGTTTGCGGGGTTTGGAATTAACCCCTTCCCCCGCCCCCTCAAAAAAGTGTATCTGTGGACAAAAATTATACGTACGTACAAAGATAACTTGACATCAATTATTGTCTGTTCACATACGAGAACAAGTCTCCCTAAATCTGTTTAATGTTTCTATAACAAACAAAAAATAATTATGCAACAGTCTAAAAATAATCTGCCCAAAGCGAACTTATCGCTTACTGGGAAGTTTTTACTCGAACACCGATTGACGTTTGCGTAACATTTTCGATTTAAATTTTTTTCACACTCGCTGTTTTTTGTTCAGATTTCTATTCACTTCATTGCTGCACTTTGTTTTATTTTGCTTGTTTTGCTTCTGTGATTGCGGTCACCTAGGGCCACTCTTGCAAAAGAGACCACTATCCTGGCCTTTTAAATTCCTTCATTGCCCCGTCGCCTCCAACAATGCTCCTAAAATGACCTCAGTCTGCACCTTCATTCAGGCTGCCTAATTTCGCCTCGTCATCATCTAAACTATTAAAACAAAACGATTTTTTTTATTTTCCCAGGCCCAGGCCCACCGAGCTATAACGCTCTCTTTTATAAGCGACCTGGCCGCAAATGATATCTCAATGAAGTGGCTTACCACGTGGAAATGTTTAGCACCAAATACTCTAAATGCACGTTTTTACATGAAGGGAAAAACCGGAGGACCTGGAGAAAAATCCGTGCGACCACTGAGAGAACACGCAAACTTCAAATATGCAGGCGTCAGGGACAGGATGGGGATTGAACCCACGTGCTCCTGCAGACCAGGCGAGGTAGTTAACATCTCGCCACCACATCGCCCCTCTCGCCGCCGCATCGTCGCTGCCATCATCATGATGGTTAATTTTCGTTCATCCATAGTCATCGCTGACCAACATATCTATAATTTGCACGACGAATACTTTCGTCACTAATTTTATTCACAAAATGAGCACTGGTCATCATCGGTCGAGTGTCGTAATGCTGTGTGCTACCAAGATGGAGTTGTTTTTTCTGAAGATCTCTCATCCATAGCTATTGCCCAAATAGCCTCTTGTGGTTCATTAATGAAAACAGTTAACCCCAGCCAAAGTTGACATGAGCACCTGCAAAAACCCACAAGCCCGGACATGCATGGTCTAACCACTTGTGCGTCAAACGATAACACGCCAGCGAATATTGTATGTACGTGCGTGGGGTGCTTGTGTATGCACGTGTGTGTGTGTGTCTGCGTTTGTTTTTTCGTGGGGAACGGTAGCGTGGCGGTTTACACGCTGCGCTACGAACCTGGCGACCAAAGTTCAAATCCCGCTCACGGCCAACACCAGTGATGATTATCGTGAAGGAGTCCTGCATCTCCCCTCAGTCGACTTAGCCTCAAATGAGCACCTGGTACAGATGTGTAAACATCGCTACGAGGGAGACAAAGGCGGCTGGGCGTGGTGCTGGCCACCTACCCGCTCGTGTGCCCTATCCGGCCTTCATCAGGTGTTCTCTAACAGCACTTGCCCCAACGGTCTGTTAAGGCTACATGGGGGACCTTTTACTTCATCTGTATTTTGAATAGGTTACTTAAAATCCAACTAGGCAGGTGAAGGTGCCTTATATATATACAGTGTTGCTGCAGGGCTCGCATTTAAACTTGAGCATTTCAACAGACAGGACGCCGATATGCAGTCTCATCGGCGTCTCACCTAGGACATCGTTGCATTAGAATCAACACGCCTACTCTCGCCTAGCCGAGTCTCAAACTGCGTTTACAAGAGATGTATCGGTGACGCACACCCCTGCGTGTAACTGTGGCCGATTCGAGCTTAAATTATTAATAGGCGTTAAAAGGTTTGCTTCGTTCAGAGCGGGACGCCGAAATGCTAAAGTTAGGACCGCGATTGTTTGAGAGACAAAACTGCAAAGCTACTACAACATGAGGGCTACAGGAAAATTCTGTGGTATGGACACAGAAAGCAATGAGTGGCCTTGATAACCCTTTATAAATCCACTGCTTGATGAAGGCCTCCCAATGGGGGTCGTTTGACCATACTTCGCCACGACGTTCGCCGAGGCCGGGAATTTAACTCAGGTTACAGGGTTCAAAGTTGAGCGTGCTTTGATGAAATTGTGATAGACATGGTCCATACTCTTTGGTTCTTTCGGTAAAGTCACGCAGGTAGAGAAATAAAACAAAATATAAAGTAATATATCACGACGTTTCGATCGCAACACAAGCGGTCGTCCTCAGGCGGAAGAAATAATCCAGAAGTGGGACTGCTGAACCAGGGAGAGAGCTGTTACAACACAACTGAGGTGCTTGCATCCGTGGATGGAATTCCTTTCCAGCTCAGACCCCGCTTGCTTGCCCATCGCCACATAAATAACCTCCTTGTTGTTGTAGCTGCTCTCTCGCTGGTTCAGCAGTTCCACTGCTGGATTATATTTTTTCCCCCTGAGGACGACCGCTTGTGTTGCGATCGCAACGTCGTGATATATGACTTTTATTTCGTTTTATTTTTCTACCTACGTGACTTTACCGAAAGAGCCAAAGATTATGGATTCCTGCAGTCACGAAAGCTTCAAATCAAGATTAGACATGGTCCCTTTGAAGTGCAATACACTTGGTTCAATATATATTCCAAATGTTTTAATGCCTGCCCAGGAGAACTCTTTGCCTTGCTCTTCAACCCACTTGTTGGCAGCACACATCATTTAGTGATGCTGATGACGTAAATCGAATTGTGTCCATCTGTGTGTGTGTAAAATATGGGGAGCGGTGGTGTAGCGATTAGCGAGCTGCGCTATGAACCCGGTGACCTGGGTTCGATTCCCGCCCATGGTCAACACCAGTAACTATTATCTGAACCGGTCCTGGGCTTCGCCTAAGTCGACTCAGCCTCAAATGAGTACCTGGTGCAGTGTGTAGTAAACATCGCCACTCGGGAGACAAAGCTGGTCAGGCGTGGTGCTGGCCACCCACCTCCTCGTGTACCGTGCCGGCCTTCATAGGTGCTTGCTAACAGCACTTGTCCCAACAGTGTGTTAAGGCTACACGGTACAGGGGGTCTTTGTCTTTTTGTACAATGTGCTTATTCCTTATTCGCGCACAGTGCATATGATCAGTCCATGGAATGATCATCACCTCCGGAACTACCATCGCCACTGCAGACTCTTACGAGCACCGCGACTGCCAAATCAAAACGATTCCCGAATTTGCGTCGCGCCTGTGCAGCGCCCGCGGCGTGCCGTTACCGGGAGAGCCGTACTTGCCCACGACCGGGCCCCGCTTGGCCGCCGGCGCCGGCCTCGTCGCCTTCCGCCTGGGCAGAGGGCTCGGCGAAGGCGTGAGCGTCGGCGACTGCGATGGCGAGCGCCGGCGGGAAACCTCCGAGGACCAGTCGTCGTCGCCCTCGTCGTACTTGTCCGTGCGGTATGAGGAGGCGGCGTCGTCGTCGTCGTCGTTACCGCCGTGACCTCCTCGGGTCCCGCGGCCGCCCCTGCGGCTGGCTTCGCGGGTCCGCGAGCGCCGGGAGGCCGGCGAGGGAGTGCGGGAGGCGCCGCCACGGCCGCGCGCCGAGGTGGACGACGCCAATCCCGGCGACGCCATCTTTCGCGCAGCCGTCTTCAGAAAAACGTCGAATAAAACGGGGGATTAAGAGTCACGCGTGTACAACTACTTTGGCGTATTTCATAACGTTTTCCAACAATATCCTTGTTCTCGGAAGTATTCTTTCACTGCAGGGTGATCTTTTTGTAGACATAGGAAATTAGGTGATATTTTTTTTTATAGATATACGCCACCAGTGGCGCAGCTATGGAGTGTACGGGCCGTGCAACTGCACCTGAGGGGGCCCAGGCACCAGAATAGTAAGAGGGGGAATTGCAGACATGACTTCGTACTGCCTGCTACATCACGTGTCGCAAAATGGATCCGAAACGTGGACATTAACAAATAAAACGCAACCAGTGCAAAGAATGGAAAGTGTCCAAAGAAGCGTGGAGAGGTGCGCACGTGGAATTGCATTGCTCGACAGAAAGAGGAATGCGGTATAGAAAATATATGCAGGGAATGCACTATCATATGATAGTGGCATTGTCTTTGAGCTGTACGCCTTTTGGCGTCCTCTGGTCTCGCGCCAATTGGGTCGAGGCTCAAAAGAAAGCCGTCCCTGGTGTGGACCAATCAGTTTCAAGGACAATGCAATATTATCATAGTGTGTTTTTTGTTTGCATTTTGACCACAAGTATTGTGGTTAATGCAGACATGATTCCTTGCAAAAGGTTTCAGTTTTGTTGCCAGAAAAAAAGTGGAAAAGCCTAATTATTATATTTTGGTACTGGCAAAGGAGGTCTAATGATGTGCGTGCTTCTGTAATTAACAAACTGCCTCCACACCTTCGATGAGCACGGCTGGCTACGTACGGTGCCAAAGAAGTTCAAAATAAACGCATATATACAGATATAGCTGATGTGCAATGTCAATTCCAGCTCCCGGCTTTCAAATACATGTTCTCATTGACAAAGCGTCAAACTTTGTATCGCGCAGTCTGTGAAACAAATATATTCACGAATAAAAAGTGGCGTGCTGTGGTTGGTACGGACCCCGGCGCAAAGAATCAAAAGGGGGCAACTCCTGTCTGCCATCACACCATTTTCATATCTGCCGCCAGGGCCAACTCCACACCGCGGGCCCCAGGACAGTTGCACCGCCTGCACACTCGAAAGCTACGCCACCGGTGGCGCGCAAGATCACGAAATTTATTTTGGGGTTGGAATCTTCGTTGAATTACGCGATTGCCACCACGAGCCATGAGATGGCTATTGATTGATTGTTACCTAAACTGATGTGGTGTAAACATGTTGGAACGATTACAGTTTTTGGCCAGTGTTTCCACGGGAGGCTGACAGTGTTTGTTCTATGGAAGGAATTGGCTCCCCTACTGCAGGAATGTGGCCACCGCCAATGGAGCTGAGCACCACCTATTGATCGCTTGAGTGTGGGAAAAAAACTTTGATTTTAACTTTATTGAATTAAAATGCCTTTGGCGTCGGTCCTTGGTTGTGCAACAGTCAGTAGAAGGGAAGAGGCAATGGCGAGGTTTATGTGGCATAAGCGTGTCGATTTGTGATTTCCTTCTGAGCTACCCTCTTTTGATGATTTTTTCAGTTTATTTATTTTGGTATAGCCCTGTGAGCCATTCGGCTCTTGAATCGGGTGCAACCACAACAAACAAAAACACGAACAAGAAAAACATCTTCAAGTGACTATGTGACTGCGCAAACAGAAAATCCAAGAAAAAAAACAGCAAAAATATTCCTGAAAAAATCACCGTACACCAAAGCTGAGTGCAAAAAATCCCAGTGGGATGCAAGTCAAACAACAACAACAACCACAAGAAAACTTAGATTAAGGCCATCAGTCTAACTCCGTACTACAACAAAACAAACATGTCCAAATCAAAAAAACTTTTCCAAAATCACCAAAAAATAAAACCATAATTGCAACGTAACAGTGATCACAGGAACTTTGACCGAATTTTGTGCTGCATGCAATTCATTTCGCATGAAGGCCACTCATTTTATATGAAATCATCCGACGTACTTTGTTGTGTTGAGCATTCCTGTAAATCAGCCTCAATAAGGGTGCCTATTTGGAAATGGGTGCAATCACTCATTCAATAAGAGCAAACGTTGAAGATATCAGCATGGCTAAAACAAACAGTATTGCTTTCAGCTTACATTCTCTTTATGGGGGCTCTGTCATAGACTGCCCATGGCAGACTGCAAATGTTAATAAGTAATGTTTTTTTTTACTTTTTTAAAAACACGCTTTAATGAAATGTACCGTACTAGTAATGGAAGAACTCCACGACTCCAGGAAGTGGCCCCGAAGCTTGCCACAACGTAAGGGGACCGTGGTGATTTACAGCCAACGGCAGTTGAGCGTGGACAATTAGACCCAAGCCGAAACATAATACGTAAAAAAGATTGTTTAAAAATATATTATATTTTTATGATGAAATATAGTATTGTAATCAGTATGACATAAGTATACCAAGTTTGCAGTCGATACCACATTGGGAAGTGGGTGAAAATTGAGTTGCAAGATTTAAGGATACAACGACAACAGAGTGAGTTAATAGAAAGCGTGTAATAAAAATGCAAGTTAATATTTTACAAGTCGAATGTTGTGACGTATAGTTATAATCCAGCACTGTGAAGGCAAGGGTTGGTGGATCAGATGTTGAAACGTCAAAACTCACATGGTTGTGAGGTGGCCTGATGGCTGTACAAGTGGGTTCGTGAACCCGTCTTTACAGAACTTTGAACAGTATTCCCTTGAACAGTATTCCAGTATTCCCTTGTGCAGGTATTGTACTCCATTTAACACCCATACAGAAAACACTCCATTTGGGAATTGGCTAAACATCCGAATTAGCCCCTGAGCTAAGGGCGCTGTGGTTGGTACCATCTCACATTGCAAATGCTAACAGTATGAACTTGTAGTATAGTATCCACATATAGGCAGTATCCACAAACCAGAGAAAGCTTAGAGTGTGTGCCGTGTTTTAAATGCACACTTTATATTTACTTATGTATTTCGTAAATGTCTCATAACACATACCCCCTCCCCCAAAACGACATTCTCTATCAAACATACTTGGGTACCCTTCTTGACAGATTTATATTTTTTTAAGCGACCAGGGTGACCTTACTATCATACATATATGTGATCTAGAGAGAAAGTGATTCAGGAAAAATATTTTGAGAATATGCCACCCTGGGAGTTACCGATAAGCCATTTTTGGCCCAAATGCCTCAAGGTCCATCAGAGGGCCCCACTGAAAAGTGGTATTCACATTGAGTAAAACCTTCCTGAAAAATTACATTATGGGTACAATAATTATTACAATGAACTGATATTGTTGATAACTTTCAGGGGAGCAGAAGCTCAGTTATTGTGACAACCTGGTTAATTTACTTTCTTAATAACATGCTAACAATCCGAGTGAGCACAAGCAGCAAGTGAAAGATGCTGCCCAAGAAGTTCAGAATCAGAAACAGATTATTTATTTACACTGGAGGAATCCGGTGAGCTATAAAGCGCTTTCTCACAGATTTTCAGGAGGGGCAGATCAATAAAACTGCTTGCTAATGCCAATGCTGGCAGAAGGGCCTCCATAAGAGGGAGCATTGGAGTGCCCCTAATTTGGCCTACTTGTCCATGCTGGCTAGATAAACATCTCGGACGGGGTGGCAGCACGCATACTTTACCCGACCACACGCAGCCTGCCGAACAACTAACATTCAGTACATAAATTTTTATTTAAAGCTTTCGTGACTGCAGTGATTCATATTCTTGGTTCTTTCGGTAAAGTCACGTTGAAGGGAAACAATAAAATAATAAAATATATATAAAACAATTAAATTCTCACGACGTTTCGACTGTAACACAAACAGTCATCATCAGGTGTTTTCACACCTGATGGTGTTTTCACACCTGATGATGACTATTTGTGTTAGTCACACCTGATGATGAAGTGTTACAGTCGAAACGTCGTGAGAATTGTATTGTTTTATATATATTTTATTGTTTCCCTTCAACGTGACTTTACCGAAAGAACCAAGAATATTCAGTACATACTCTATTTATAGGTTATTACACGCCCGTGTATAAATGGGTCAACTTCAGCTGTCTTGCGATTTTCATTTAACGTGTTCAAACGGCCAAAATCAGCAGCCACAGAGAGAGACTTGTGAAGGGAATTGCACGCGTGCCATTCTAGAAATGATTCCAGTAGTCAGCCGGATATTGGATAATCATTGCACTCTTGCGCGCCAACATGTCTAAGGAAACGATGTGCACCGAGTGGCACATGCCTCTAACCAAACAAAGCTGGCCTTCACCAAAAGGGCCATTACCAAGCAACATAGCGGGCGTCATCATCCTCATCAGAGATGTTACGCACTCTGTGTAGAACTTCTTTCGCACCGTACGCAGCGAACCGTGCTAATCGGAGGTCAACAAACCGTGCTAATCGGAGGTCAACAAACCGAAACACCGAAATTAGTTTTTTTTAATTTTGATTTAAAGCTTTCGTGACTGCAGTAATTCATATTCTTAGCTCTTTCGGTAAAGTCACCGTTTGTGTTGTGGTCGAAACGTCGTGAGAATTTTTACAGTTTTACCGAAATTAGCGTTTAAACTAGATTATTTAAAAGCGCATAGCTCCAGTGACTCCCCTAATGTCGAAAGGAAGAGCGTTTCCCCAGACGTCCGAAGAAGCGTATCCGACAGCTGATCAATCCACTGCTGGCTGAAGGCCTGTGCAAGCTGTTACTGCAAGCTGCTGCTGCTGCTATCGATCGCTCGCCTTGCTGTGATGCAGCAAGCCATCTAAGCGCCTGCACGCCAGTTGATTTCACCACTCCATCTCCGTGGTGTTCGTCGTTATCTTGGGCGAGGTTTCCCCTATTTAGGTTGCCACGCTGTTGTGAGTTTCGACCACCCAAGCAAGCTGAACATTTCTTATCAGTCAGTATGAGGTCTCCAACTTGCATATACGTACATGCTCTCGGATTCGTGCCTGTCAGTGTCATTAAAACTATAAAAAAAGCTCTAATCCATTTTTATTTTACCAGGTAAGGCCCACTGAGCTACATAGCTCTTGTTCAGAAGCCACCTGGCTACCACAAATGATAGCCCAATGAAGTGGCTTATCACGTGGAAACTGACAGCAGCTAATTAGTATAAATACATGTTTCTAAATGTGCCGGGGAAAACCGGGAGGACCTGGAGAAAAAAAATGCACGCGACCACGGAGAGAGAGAGAGAGAGGACACGCAAACTCCAAATATACAGCAGCAGGCACCGAGGTCGGCATCTAACCCACGACCTCCTGTATACCAGGCGAAGTAGTTAACATCTCCTAGCCATCGTGATGATGATGAGAGAGAGAGAGGACACGCAAACTTCAAATATACAACAGGCACCGAGGTCGGCATCTAACCCACGACCTCCTGTTTACCAGGCGAGGTAGTTAACATCTCATAGCCATCGTGATGATGATGATGAGAGAGAGAGGACACGCAAACTCCAAATATACAGCAGCAGGCACCGAGGTCGGCATCGAACCCACGACCTCCTGTATACCAGGCGAAGTAGTTAACATCTCCTAGCCACCGTGATGATGGTGATGAGAGACACGCAAACTCCAAATATACAGCAGCAGGCACCGAGGTCGGCATCGAACCCACGACCTCCTGTGTATCAGGCGAGGTAGTTAACATCTCCTAGCCACCGTGATGATGATGATGAGAGAGACACGCAAACTCCAAATATACAGCAGGCGTCAGGGTCTCGATGGAACCCACGACCTACACATTAAAGTGTCAAATTACACACTTTAATGTGTAATTTGACACAATGTGTAATTTGACACATTAATGTGTGGAGAATTGTACGTTTAATTTATGCCAAAATTTTTTTACGTAAAACCGCAGGTGCGAATGACGCTCTGATTTTGTTACAACTAAAAAGACGAAACAGCATTCCTCTTAATAACGCAAGGTACACTGAAGGCTACCGAGGTTAAATTAAACACTGTAATCGTAAACATTATAGAGTATCGTTATTATTAATCATGTCAAATGTAAACACAAGCGGACGGTGGGATTTCACCATGAGCATCAACATATTCGTTTATACTCAGCACACAGACATTTCAAATAGAATACCTCACCAAAACTAAGGCTTTTCTTGAGAACAAGACTTTAAACGTCCTCCTCTGTTCAGTTCCGCGCTGCCCTCGACACTTAAATGGTTAAACTATGTTAAATAGAAGACGTTTTAGAGCCACAGATTTGCGTTCGCTCCACTAGTCGAGCCAGAGTCCGCGACTCTGGGCTGGGCCGCGCTTATGTTTCGTCGCCACGGCAACGGCGGGGTGCGGTTCAGAATTCATTACGCGGATAGGCCGCGGCGCGCACCGCTTATTGGCGGAGGCGTCGGCAGAGGGGGCGGTGGAGGCGATCGCGCGCATGCGGTGTACGATTTGCAAACGGATCGTGGCTAATGTCCCCAGAGGATTGACTGGGGATTAGTGTGCAGTGCTTATTGGGCTGACGGAAGGGGCCGTCCATAAATGACGTCACGCGATTTTGGACGATTTTTTGACCCCCCCCCCTCCCTTCGTCACACGGCGTCACAAAAAGTCAAAACCCCCCCTCAAATATGACGTCACAAAGCTCTTCCCCTCCCCCCCCCCAAAAAAAATATTAAACATGCTTCAAATTATATTCTTGGTTCTTTCGGTAAAGTCACCACGTAGAAGGGAAACAATAAAATAATAAAATATAAAACAATAAAATTCTCACGACGTTTCGACTGCAACACAAGCAATCATCATCAGGTGTGAAAACCACAGCAAGAAAATTTGAAGCATGTTTTAGCTTTAAATCAAAATGCTTCAAATTGAATTTCGATTTAATGCTTTCGTGACTACAAGGATTCATCTTCTTTGGTTCTTTCCCAAAGAACCAAAGAAGATGCTTCAAATTGCTTTAAACTATCGTCATTGTAGTGCGTATTTAATGTGGCGCTGCACCCTGATGTTGTAGGAGAACACGTATTAAAAAGTATAATTAATTAACTAGAACGTGTTGTCTATATTTATTTAAAGTTGCGCATTTTGATGTGACGTCACATTTCTCAAACCCCCCCCCCCGTCCCACGTCACAATTGTCTGACCCCCCCCCCCCCCAGGTGTGTGACGTCACATATGGACGGCACCCTAGGCGCGACCCACGACCGGTTCAGACAATCGTCACCGGTGTTGGCCGTGAGAGGGAATCGAACTTGGGTCACCGGGTTCGTAGTGCAGCGTAGCGCTAACCGCTACACTACCACTCCCCACTTGAAATGCCCACACACACAGACACCGACTCGTTTTACGTCTCGTGCAAGTGAGAGTTCGCCTTTTAAGTCGAGGTTAAAAACAAATTAGTAATTCACGGAAGATGGTTCGTAAGTCGGGTGTTCGTAAATCAAGGACTGACTGTTCTGTATATATGTTTTAGTCCCTTCAGCCTATTTATTGGCTTTCCAGTCGAGTATTATTCAGCATCTTCGTCACCATCAATACGAAAATGGAGCAAATGCGATTCGGTGTCCGGATATATATCTTTTTTAAATCCCATTTTTGTTAATCGCATAACTTTTGTGAAACGCAAACATTCAATCAAGTTTTAATTTCACGTATATATATTTTTTAAATGTCGGTATAAAGATTTGTTTTATTTAAAGTATGGGATACATTACAACTGCACAGTCATATTTGCGAGAAGTTTATACCGTACCGTAAGGCAACGACGGATCGATTTACGACGCGGAGACTTCATTTACATTATAGAGACTAAATTTACGACGCAGAGGCTTCATTTACGACGCAGAGGCTTCATTTACGGTCCAGACTTAATTTACGACGCTGAAACTTTATTTACGACGCATAGATTTAATTTACTATGCAGAGACTTCATTTACGACGCATAATCGTTTTTAAACATCTAAATTAATTTGTGTAAATTTCAGTAAGAATGTCATGTACAGTAGCAATGTACAACTTCGCACGTTTTGCAGTAAGAATGGTGAATACGTTGCTTTTCAAATAAAACCATACCTGTCAACCCCTTATCAGTGCCCTACCCTATTACAGACCAATTCAGACCTTATTGGTCACCCCGTGCCCTTATAAATCTCAACGTTCATCCTACAAAGTCCCATCACAAGGGAGAAACACAAACAAATAAACAAAAACAAGCCTTATGGACCTGAAAACTCAATTTCCATGTATACAAATAGGGGTAAACCGTATGGGTTGACAGGTATTTAAAACCATATTCCTTGATGTTATTGTCCATTCATTTATTACTTAAGAGAAGTTTAGATTGTACTAATTCTAACCTATGAAGCCGACCTGACGTGAGGCTTTGTAGTTTAAAACTGAAGACTGCCAAGTCGCTGAGGGCTTCGAGGCCCCAAACATCTTCGAGTTTGTTTAAACGACGCAGATTCGGGACTAATTCGACCCTCTGCGTCCCATCAACAGTAGCAGGAGTGTCAGACTTGTTAAACAAACGCTGCCCAATTGGCAAATATTTACGGGCAATCGGACGTTATAGCCCTGGATCAGCAAATAAAGAAAAATGGTCCTACTCATTGCTTCTTTCAGACCCACCTCTCCCTCTGCCCCCTCTCTCTCTATTTAAGGCCTCGACACAGAGGCATTGGGTCACTGTGTGTCTATGTCGTATGTCTCTCTCTATTTTTTACGATCAGAGGAAACAAGAAGATGCTCGGTGTAGTCGGCACTCTGCTTCGTTCATCATTTCGGGTTTTTTTATTGCTTTGCTTTATGTAACCCCTCCCCCCTTTTAAATGAAAGACCCAACAAAATATTTCTCGCTCTGCTCTCCCCACCCCTTCCCTCTCTCTCTGCCCACCTCTATCCCCCCCCTCTCTCTCGACCCCCTCTCTTTCCACTCCATGTCGATCTCTCTCCCACTCTCTCTCTCGCTCTCTCTCCCGCTCGCGCTCTCTTGCTCACTTTCTCATTTTTATAACTACGACAAGTGCTGCATCTGCACGCAGCCCTTCCCACAGTCAAACGGCCTCCGACGGGTAGCTTAGATCTGCATGCAGAGCTCTCCGTCATCTGCCACCGAGCACACGGCCTCCTCTGGCGCCCACTGCTCCTTGAAGGCCGGCACGGCGTGGGTCAGCCGCGCGTGGCGGAACTCCAGCCACACCCTGGCTCCGACCAGAGCACAGAAGATGCCCAGGCTGCTGGCCGGACGTTTCCCCTCCAGGGCCACCTTCCTCGCCCTGTATACGGCGAGCTTGGCGTGGCCGACGAGCACGTTGACCGGCCCCTGAAGATGTTGGGCTTCATCGCCCTTCAGGTATCCAAAGACGAGGACCGTCGGGGAGAAGTGGAGGCTGAACCTGAGGAGGATGTTTCTCAGGACCTTGAACAACGAGTCCAGGCTCTTGCACTCCACGTATTGGTGCGCCACCGTCTCCACTTTACCACAGAACCGACACTCCGGGAACGTGTCGGTGAAGCGCGCCAGGGAGGCATTGGTGGTGACGGTGCCGTGGGCGATGCTCCAGCTGAGGTCGCCGATGCGGTTGTACGTCGGGCTGGAGTAGAGTTGCCTCCAGCGAGGCCTCTCCGGAGAGACGCAGGGCAGGGCTTTCCTCCAGGCATTGTCCTTGTGGATCCTCAGGGTGTCCTGTTGGTGGAACCGGACCATGTAGGAGTAGAGCACCTTCCTCTTTACATTTGCGAAGGCCACCTCCGGCAGGTCTTCCAGCTGGCACAGGTTGTGATCCGCCTTCGTTTGTCGGCATTGGCGATGCAGTGGCACGACGGAGAGCTCCGGTGGAGGGGGACCGAGAGGGGCCTCGTCATCCCCAACGCCGATGGGGGGCATTCTCCCCGCTGCCGCTGAGAAGGCCCCCTTGGCTTCGGCCAGGATCCGGGCAGCCACCCGGAGCGACTGCAGCTCTGTCATTGCGGCCATGTCTGCTGGTCCGAGCCACCGGCCCCGTGTTTCAATCTCTCTGTGCGTCTCTGTGTTGTCTCTCTCTCTCTCTGTTTGTGTGTCTGTCTGTGTGTCTCCGTGTCTGTGTTTTGTCTCTCTCTCTCTCACATTTAGTTCTTCCTGATGATGGTTGCTTGTGTTGCAATCGAAACGTCGTATTCTATTATTTAATTTATTTTTCTTTCTACGTGGCTTTACCCAAAGAACCAAAGAGTAATTCCTGCAGTCACGAAAGCTTCAAATAAAATAATGGTCCTGTTTTAACTTGAGTTGACGTGACTTTTTTGTTCCACGATACAATACCGTACCGTACAGGAAATTTTACGATATGACAATTTTCGCGATATCGGTTTCCCATAACTTTGTGATCGTATTAAAACAAAATCTCTTGTATTATTATTCTTGTGCTTTTGCTGTACTGTACTTCCAGTCCGTATGAAGTTCGCTTAAAAGTTCATGAAATGCAGGTCACTCACCATGTAATACCTGCGTTTCTGCGTCATTATCCTTGCCGCTTAATATAATCAATCACGCTCACAATGAGCCGCATGCCGTGAGTTACACGATAACTAATTAACGTCAGTACAGTCATTATAATAATCATGAGGGCGTATAACCATTTACGCAAAACCACATCATGCACAACGCACAATAATCGTATATTTATTGCATTACTTAAATTTTCATCCACAATTACTCAAATGATTAGTTTACGCTGTCTATCGTGTGCGTTTGAGTCGAACTATGGCCCACATCTAACAGAGGGCCCTGGTAGATAAACATCTTGGCAGCTCACCAGCTTTGGTGAAAACGCGAAAGCCTCGCTCTGCTGATGAGACACCCAATATCGAAACCAGGTGGCAGAGTTGTGCTTGAAACCAACGCTGCTGAAATGATGCACTCCCAGATTGGTCGTGAATAACAAATACTCATGTTGAGGGACAAATATTGGAGAGTGGCATCCCACTAAACATCCAACGTTGGGACAACGTTGGGATATGATTGGAACTGTTGGCCTGACGTTGACCCAACGTCCCACAGATCACTGGGTTATTGTCTGCTAATGTATATTGTATTTGTCACCACGACGACGCCAATGACCTGCAATTTGAGGGCATTTAAAGCCCCCTGTTTTGTTCAACAGAGGGCACTGCACTCACGCTATGTGTTTCAACCACGGATTGCCTAATGCGTGAAAATGATTCAACACTGCTCTTCTCAGTCATCCGATCTCAAACATTGGCAGGCCTCCCCAATCCTCCAGTTATACTTGTAGGAACCTCCTGGTTACACCAGCCCACCGGGGAGTAATTATGTCCGTCCGTCCGTCGTGCATCCAAAAATGGGAGGGGTGGGGGCTGGGTGGAGAGGGGAGGGTGGGGTGGGGCTGTGTGGGGAGGGAGGGGCTGGGTGGGAAGGGGCTGGTCACCCCGTGGTGCCCTTATAAAACTCAACGTTTAGCCTACTCACGCCGGCTTGTGCCCGCCCTCACAGTCGGGCATATTTGCGGAATACAC